CCTTCTAGGACACGAACCTACTGCTGATCCCTTCCCAGGCAATACAAGGTCCAGTTAGCGCCCCCCCCCAGCTATCAGTGATAACCCCACCCCAGCCCCAGCTGCTGATAACCCTATCACCAGCTCCTTAGCTACATCTGCAAAACTAGTGTCCTTTTCCAGTTGCCAGTACTTTGTTTTGGGCTTTTGTTTGTTTATTGTTTTGGTTTAGTTTTACTTCTGAGCCAGGCTCTTGATATATAGCCTATGTTGGCCTTGAGCCAGTATTTATTATTATTATTATTATTTTATCTTTTTGAGAGAGGGTCTCCCTGTAGCTCCAGCTGTCTTGGAACTCACTATGTAGACCAGGCTGGCCTCGAACTCACAAAGATCCGCCTGCCTCTGCCTCCCAAGTGCTGGGATCAAAGGTGTGCGCCACCACGCCCAGCATATTTATTTATTTGTTTGTTTATTTAGTTATTTTGTTTGGGGCTGAAGAGATGGCTTAATGGTTAAGAACACTGGTTGTTCTTGCAGAAGACCCGGGTTTGAATCCCAGCACCCACATGGCAGCTAACTGTCAGTAACTCCAGTCCCAGGGAATCCGACAGCCTCCTCTGACCTCCGCGGGCATTGCACAACACAGGTTCACTGACCCACCTGCAGGCAACACACGCATACACATAAAAAATTGTTTTAATTATTTATTTTTAATAATTTTATGTGTATGCGTGTGTTGCCTGCAGGTATCTAAGTGCACCAAGTGTGTGCAATGTCCCAAAGAGGCCTGAAGAGGGTGTCAGATCCCCTGGAACTGTAGTTTATGGTCAGTTGTTAGCCACTGTGTGGGTGCTGAGGATTGAACCCTGGTCCTCTGGAAGAACAGGAAGTGTTCTTAACTGTTGAGCCATCTCTCCAGCCCCCCACTTTTTTTTTTTTTTTTGGTTTTTTTTGAGACAGGTTCTCCCTGTAGCCCCAGCTGTCCTGGAACTCCCTATGTAGACCAGGCCTGCGGCCTTGAACTCACAGTGCTGGGATTAAAGGTGTGCACCACCACGCCCAGCCCATGTTTGTTTTTTGAGGGTCTAAATATGTAGCCCTGCCTGGCCTGGAACTCACTATGAAGACTAGACTAGCCTCAAACTCATAAGAGATTCACCTGCCTCTGCCCAAGTGTTTTATTTTTGAAACAAGATCTTATATAACCCAGGCTAGCCCCAAACTCTCTTTGTAGCCCAGGATGGCCTTGCACTCCCGATCATCCTGCCTCCACTCCGCAAGTACTGATGCACACCATGATGCCCAGAAAGACATTTCTCTAATAAGGTGACATTTACAAGTCCTAGGGGTTAAGGCGTGCATATGTAAGAGACAAGGCATTTTTTAAGCCAACAATAGTATAATACTATCTCTACCCATTCCTTTAACTTCTCAGAGCTAGATTGAGTGTGTATGGGGCACTGTGGGAGCTAGAGAAATGGGCACGGCTCTTATCCTCACCTACTCCTGTGATTCTCTCTCTCTCTCTCTCTCTCTCTCTCTCTCTCTCCTCTCTCTGTTTTGTGTTATGTCCTTGTTAATGTGGATATGAGCACATGTGTGCGCATAGAAGCCAGAAGTCCACGTCAGGTGTCTTCCCCCATCACTTTCCAACTTACTTTTGGGGATAGGGTTTATCACTAAACCTGGAGCTCACTGTTTTGGCTAGGCAGGCTGGTCATTGAGCCTCTAGGATCTGCCTGTCTCTGCCCCAACCCCCAGAACTGGGGTTACAGATGCATCACCTACTCAACTTTTATGTGGGTGCTAGGGATCCAAATTCAGGTCCTCCTGCTTATGTGGCAGGCACTTTACCCACTGAGCCATGTCCCCAGCTTTCCTACCTGCTTCTCAGATACCCTTGTGATAGCATGTTAGGAGGTGGCACTGATGCTTACTGATGCTTACTGTATTAACTCACTGACCCCCTCACCACTGCCACAGCCCCACATGTAAAGGGTACTCCACAGACAGTACTTGGCTCTGCACACAAGGCTGCAGGAGCATTGCAGAGATGCTTTTGCAGAGGCTTCCTGTAGGAGGCACCACTTACTCTGGAAGAAAGGGAATTGGCCACAGGAAGTGGAGGGGGGCTAAGAGCAAGGGACCCCAGGCCAAGGAGGCAGGAGGGAGCTGGGGAGCTTCCAATGGGTAAGGAGAAGCAGGAAGGAGTCAGGTGGGATGGCCTAGTGTAGCCCAGCCTTGGAGAAATGGCAGAAGTATGAGTTTGAGACCAGCCTGGGCTGCAGAGCATAAAACTGCCAGGATCTTTGAACTGATGCCATCCTGTCTCTGGGGAGAACCTGGAATGTGGTCATGGGCTTTGGGCTTGGTTCTCCTGGGATTGATCTGAGGCCCCCACCTCTGCTGGCTGAAGTGAGTGAGGTCTCCCACTTCTCTAGTCTCCCTTCTGGGGGTTGGGTTTCCTGGGTGGGCTGCCATCAAGGAGGCAGCCACCCTAGCTGCCACCTGTTTTTTGTTTTTGTTTTTGTTTTTACATTGACTGATTGATTGATGTGTATGCGAATATGAGGAGGTCAGAGGACAACTTGGAGTTGGTTCTCTCCTTCTACCACATGGGTCCCGGGGGATCCAGCTCAGGTTGTTGGGCTTGGTGACAAGCACCTTTATCTGCTGAGCCATTTTACCTGCTAAGTCATCTTACTGGCTTCACCTGTTTTCTTTCTGTGCCAAGCACCTTGGATGAAAGAAAATGGGCAAGAGCTGACTTTGGCAGAATGAACATCAGGGTTCTGGGGACAGGCAGCAGCCCCAGCTCCCTTCCCACCTCCCAGCCCAGGCCTTGCCTCTGCCCCCTCCACCCCTTCATTTTCCTGCACTTCCTGCTCCAGATCACCAGGCAGGTGGAAGGAAAGCAGTAGCCAGACTTAGCATGCATTAGCTTGACTCTCCAGTGGCCTGCAACTGTCCCCACTGTCCAAGCTAAGAAATTGAGGCTCAAAAATGTTTCTGCCTCACTAAGAGGCATCCAACTAGCAGACAAACACCCACCTCCAGATCAGTCCACCACCCACCCCAATGGCTTCTAACATGAGCACTCCATGCTCTGATTCTCAAACCTACAAGGCTTTCTTTCCCAGGAACACCTGACCCCTGGAGGAATTAGAGCATCAAATGGGGCAGGAGAGCTACAAGCCAGGTTCAGCCCTGGAGCCAGGGCTGCAGGTGGGAGACACAGCACCCTCTGCACAGGGCATCCATATTTGAGTTTGAATCTGAAGACCAGAGTGGAAACCGAAGCTTAGAAAGGGGAGGTCTTGGGGTCCTTGTGCAGAACTGGCTCAGGTCCCAGCCCCCTGCACTTCCTGTCTAGGCCACTGCATTGCTCTGGGTTCCAGCAGGCAATGGGATAGGCCCATGTCCTCTGGGCCCACTCTTGACCAGTGATCAGGGATATGAGTTAACCAAGATGCACCTTGACCTGCAGAGTTTTCCACACAGTGGTTTCAAAAATAACTAAAGATTTGGAAGACGGGCTCAGAACTCAAGAGACAAGGCTCCCAGGAAGAGGAAACCTGCGCAAGGCTGGCTCGGGCAAGACCTGTATTGATTTGAGGGACAACCATTCCTATAAGGGCCTGTTGTGCTGAGCAAGAAGATGAATAGGAGACTGAGCCTGGATTCTTCAGGGCCTGGGAGCTGGGGTGTAGCCTCAGCTGAGTACTCCTGGGAGGAGGCTAGGTACAGGCTGGGCCACCATACTCAGGATGGAGATTCTGTACTGGGTTGTAAGCTTAGGTCTTGTGGTGCTGCCAGCAAGGTGTGAAGGGGCAGAAGCTCAGAGCCTTGGATGTTCCTGGGCCCTGCTGGCACCAAGCCTAATGGAAGACCTTTCTCTTTCTTCCTACCTGCCCCTAGGCTCTTCTTCCTTCTCTTCCTGCCCCCATCTTTCTTCCAGAGTTCCTGCTCCAGGTTGAGGCTGTTCCCTGCTCCTCAACAAGCTGTGTGACCCAGGACAAGTAAAGTAGTCCAAGCCTTTTTGGGTCTCTGTTTCCCAGGAAGTGAATGTTAGCAATCACACACACTAAGGTAGGAAACATCTGGAACACACTGAGCACTGGACAAATTAACAGGCGCTGACAAAGCCCGTGGTCTGGGTGGATGGGCTGACAGCAGAGTTCCATGCCTGGACGTGAGGGAGGATGGCTGGGAGGATGGAAATGAGGATAGATGGGAGGATGGATAGGAAGATGGATGGGAGGATGCCTGGGAGGATGCATAGGAGGGCAGGTGGGAGGGTGTGTGGGAGGTTGGGTGGGAGGATGGGTGGGAGGATGGATAGGAGGATGGGTGGGAGGATGCATAGAAGGGTGTGTGGGATGATGGATGGGAGGATGGATAGGAGGATGGCTGGGAGGATGGATAGGAGGGTGTGTGGGAGGATGGATGGGAGGATGGGTAGGAGGATAGATGTGAGGATGGATAGAAGGACGGCTGGGAGAATGGCTGGAAGGGTCTGTGGGAGGAAGGATAAGAAGATGGGTGTTAGGATGGTTGGGAGGATGGATGGGAGAGGCTGCTGCACGCAGGAGGTGGTCCTGGGGCTCCGTCACTGAATGGTCCTAGGAGGGGCGGGGCCCTGGGGGCAGCTCAGTCCCCGGCACTCGCCGCTGCGCACCGTGGTGGTGCCCACTCTCCGAGCTCTCGGTCCTTTTGTCTGCCGCCCCGCCCCGCCCCGCCTCCACGCGGGCCAGCGGCGCGCGGCTGACACGAGCGGCCGCCTCGGGCGGAGGCTGCGCGCCGCAGAC